CCGCCCCATGGAATCTATGGGGCACAGGCAACCGTCAGCACCTCCATTGAGCCCTATGGGGGCTGGGAGGTGTGGGGCGGGCCCTGGACTCACCGTACTGCACGGGGATGATGTGGGGCGGGACGTAGCGGCGCCCGCCCCCTAAGCCAGGCGCCTTCAGTGGGGCTGCTTCAGGTTCCTATGGGGCAGAGGAGGCGTGAGCTGCCCCACAGCGCACCCACAACCACCCCATAGCACCCCGTGTTGCCCCATAGCTCACCTCGGCCAGGTTGGAGGGCTCCGGATGGAAGGCCAAGGGGTGCTCAGCTCCTATGGGGCGGTCACGGATTATCTATGGGGCGTCACAACCCCATAGGAAGCACTTATGGGGCAGGGCTCACCTGGGGCCCCCGTCATGGCCGCCCGCAGCAGCTTCTCCACTTGGTACTTGAGGCGGTGCTCGATGGGGCGCAGCTTCTCCAGGACCTATGGGGCAGCCCCATAGAGCCCAGCCCCATAGCTCTGCCCCCCACGCCCCTTATACCAACCCCATAGAGCCCCCAGCCACACAGATAGGCCCCCAGCCCCATAGAACCCGCCCCAACCCCCATTGGAGCCCCCTCGCGGACGCTATGGGGCAGCCCCCCAAGTGTGGGGCAGCCCCCCCTCACCACGCGGGTCTCCAGGAGACGAGGCAGGGCCGGGAGCCCCCCCAGGGGCCCCCCCCGGGCCTTGGCCCCCAGCACCAGGCCCAGGTCCTGCAGGTACTGAACCAGCGCCTGCGCCCGCAGCTCCAGCAGCGACAGCCCCTGTGGGGAGCGAGGGGAACCCCATGGGGACCCATAGAGATCCATAGGGACCCCATGGGGACCCATAGAGACCCCACAGAGACCCATAGGGACCCCATAGGGACCCCATAGGAACCCCACAGGGACACATAGAGACCCCATAGGGACCGCAGGAGGACCCGTAGAGACCCCATAGGGACCCATAGAGACCCCATAAGGACCCATAGGGACCCCATAGGAACCCCACAGGGACACATAGAGACCCCATAGGGACCGCAGGGGGACCCGTAGAGACCCCATAGGGACCCATGGAGACCCCATAGGGACCCCACAGACCCACACAGAGCCTCATAAACACCCATGGCACCTCATACACACCCCATCTGACCCACATAATCCCTTCTATCCCCTTCTGTGACCCACATACCCCCTCATAGGAGCCCTGTAAGGCCCCACCAGCCCCATATAACCCACCACAGACCCCCCCAGAACACCAACAACCCCCCATTAACCCTCCTCTGCCCCACATAATCCCCCCATAGGGCCCACGTAGGGGCCGTACCCTCCTCCTAAGACCCATATATCCCCCTCTTAGACCCCTACAGAGCCCCACAGCACCCCATTAACGCCCCCTCCACATCCACTGCCCCACACAGTACCCCTTAAAACCCCCATATATCCCTATAGCGCCCCCGTATCTCCCTATGGCCACCCCACATCGCCCCATAGGACCCCCATACCGCCCCACAGCACCCCCATAAGCCCCATAGGGCCCCCTTTGGTACCTTCTCGGTGCGGAGCTTTCCCCCGCGCACCCTCTGCAGCAGCGCCCGCCCGTGCTCGGTCACTGCCGCCACCTGCAGCCGAGGGGGCAAATGTGGGTCTGGGGGGGGTAAATGTGGGTCTGGGGGGGTAAATGTGGGTCTATGGGGGGCAAATGTGGGTCTAAAGGGGGTAAATGTGGGTCTGGGGGGGTAAATGTGGGTCTGGGGGGGGGTAAATGTGGGTCTAAAGGGGGCCTAAAGAGGGTAAATGTGGGTCTAAGGGGGGTAAATGTGGGTCTGGGGGGGTAAATGTGGGTCTATGGGGGGCAAATGTGGGTCTAAAGGGGGTAAATGTGGGTCTGGGGGGGTAAATGTGGGTCTAAAGGGGGTAAATGTGGGTCTGGGGGGGTAAATGTGGGTCTAAAGGGGGTAAATGGGGGTCTAGGGGGGGTAAATGTGGGTCTGGGGGGGTAAATGTGGGTCTATGGGCGGTAAGTGTGGGTCTATGGGGGGTAAATGTGGGTCTATGGGGAGTAAATGTGGGTCTGGGGGGGTAAATGTGGGTCCATGGGGGTAAATGTGGGTCTGGGGGGGTAAATGTGGGTCTATGGGGGTAAGTGTGGGTCTATGGGGGGTAAATGTGGGTCTATGGGGAGTAAATGTGGGTCTGGCGGGGTAAATGTGGGTCTATGGGGGTAAATGTGGGTCTAGGGGGGTAAATGTGGGTCTATGGGGGTAAATGTGGGTCTGGGGGGGGTAAATGTGGGTCTATTGGGGTAAATGTGGGTCTATGGGGGTAAATGTGGGTCTATGGGGGGTAAATGTGGGTCCGGACCTGCCCCTGCAGAGCCTCCAGCAGCACGACCGCCTCCGCCGCCGCCATCTTGGAACTGAAGGCGTGACGGAAGGAGGCAGCCGCCAATAGGAGCGCGGCGCTGGGGGCGTGGGCCAATAGGAGGGCGAGGATGAGAGGAAGTCCCGCCTCCCAGCCCCTGGGCAGGAGGGGGTGAGAGACGGGGTAACGGACCAATAGGAGTCCAGAAGGGAGATGCTGGCCCGCCCCCTGAGGGGTGGGGGGGATTAGGGGCGGTGCTAAAAGTGGATTGGGCCAATGGGAGGCCGAGGCGCGAGTGAGTGGCGGGTGGCGCTGCCAATGGGAGGGCGGGGAACTGCCCTGGGCGCGCCACGCCGGCTCACGGGGGCAATTAGAACCACATAGAGCCCCATAGCCACCCCATAGACCCCTATAGCCACCCCATAGACCCCTATAGCCACCCCATAGACCCCTATAGCCACCCTATAGACCCCTATAGCCACCCTATAGAGCCCCATAGACCCCATAGACACCCCATAGAGCCCCATAGACACCCCATAGCCACCCCATAGAGCCCCATAGACCCCTATAGACACCCCATAGAGCCCCATAGCCACCCCATAGACCCCTATAGCCACCCTATAGAGCCCCATAGACCCCTATAGACACCCCATAGAGCCCCATAGACCCCAATAGACACCCCATAGAGCCCCATAGACACCCCATAGTCACCCCATAGAGCCCCATAGACCCCTATAGCCACCCCATAGAGCCCCATAGACCCCTATAGACACCCCATAGAGCCCCATAGACACCCCATAGTCACCCCATAGAGCCCCATAGACCCCTATAGCCACCCCATAGAGCCCCATAGACCCCTATAGCCACCCAATAGAGCCCCATAGACCCCATAGACACCCCATAGAGGCCCATAGACACCCCATAGCCACCCCATAGAGCCCCATAGACCCCCATAGCCACCCCATAGAGCCCCATGGACCCCTATAGCCACTCCATAGAGCCCCATAGACACCCATAGACACCTCATAGACACCCCATAGACCCCCCCACAGACTCCGCCAGACACCCCATAGACCCCTAGACACCTCACAGACCCCTACAGATACTCCGTAGAACCCCACAGATCCCCAAATACACCCCATAGACCCCCCACAGACACTCCATAGACCCCTATAGACACCCCAGAGACCCCTATACACACCCCATAGACCCCTATAGACACCCCACGGACCCCTATAGGCACTCCGTAGAGCCCCATGGATCCCCACAGACCCCTATAGGCACTACACAGACCCCCACAGACCCCTATAGGCACTCCATAGACCGCCACAGACCCCTACAGCCACCCCACAGACACCCCATAGAGCCCTATACACACCCCACAGACCCCTATAGGCGCTCCGTAGAACCCCATAGACCCCCCCCAGACACCCCATCAATGGCCATAGACACCCCTAGACACCCCATAGACCCCCAGACACCTCATAGACCCCCCCAGACCCCTACAGGCACCCCACAGACCCCCCACAAACGCCCCATAGACCCCCCACAGACCCCTACAGACACCCCCCAGACCCTCCTAGACACCCCCCAGACACTCCATAGACCCCCACAGACCCCTATAGGCACTCCATAGACCCCCCATAGACCCCCTACAGACACCCCACAGACCCCCATAGACACTCCATAGACCCCTATAAGCACTCCATAGACCCCCCTAGACACCCCATAGACCCCTACACACACCCCATAGACCACCCACAGACCCCTATAGGCACTCCACAGACCCCCATAGATGCCCATAGACCCCCATATCCCCCCCACAGACCCCCATAGACCCCCCGTAGACACCCCCCAGTAACCACCTCCCTATACGCACTCCATAGACCCCCACAGTCCCCCATATCCCCCCCACAGACCCCCATAGATGCCCCACAGCCCCCCCACAGACGCCCCCCAGTAACCACCTCCCTATAGACACTCAATAGACCCCCATATCCCCCCCACAGACCCCCATAGACGCCCCACAGCCCCCCCACAGACGCCCCCCCAGTAACCACCTCCCTATAGGCACTCCATAGACCCCCACAGTCCCCCATATCCCCCCCACAGACCCCCACAGCCCCCCCACAGATGCCCCCCAGTAACCACCTCCCTATAGACACTCAATAGACCCCCACAGACGCCCCACAGCCCCCCCACAGACGCCCCCCAGTAACCACCTCCCTATAGACACTCAATAGACCCCCATATCCCCCCCACAGACCCCCCATAGACGCCCCCCAGTAACCACCTCCCTATAGACACTCAATAGACCCCCACAGACGCCCCACAGCCCCCCCACAGACGCCCCCCAGTAACCACCTCCCTATAGACACTCAATAGACCCCCACAGTCCCCCATATCCCCCCCACAGACGCCCCACAGCCCCCCCACAGACGCCCCCCAGTAACCACCTCCCTATAGACACTCAATAGACCCCCACAGACGCCCCACAGCCCCCCCATAGACGCCCCCCAGTAACCACCTCCACCAGTCTCCATCCTCCTCCTCCTCCTCTTTATTCCCCCCTCACCCCTCCCCATGGGGGGGGGGCGCCCCCCATCTCCCCCCCCCCCTCACCGCCGCCCCCCCCTATCCCTCAATGGGGTGCTCCGGCTGCGGCTCCTCCTCTTCTCGCCCGCCCCGCCCCTCTCCCTGTCGGTGGCCCCGCCCCCTCCGCTCCCCGCGCCCGCCCTGCGGTGGTGATGATGATGATGATGGTGATGGTGATGGTGGTGGTGGTGGTGGGAGGGGGAGGAAGAGCCCGCCCCGGGGGCGGGGCCGGGGGGCGGGGCCCGCTTGTCACGTGACGAGGCCGGGGGCGGGGCCCCGCGCTGCTGCTGCTGCTGCTGCCGCTGCTCCTCCTCCTCCTGCTCCTTGCGGCGGCGCTCGCGCTCCCGGGCCCGGGCGGCTCGCTCGGCCTGCTTCTGCACGAACTGCCGGTGGGGGACAAAACACGGAGCGGGTGTGGGGAAAAACGGGGAGAAACGGAGCGGGTGTGAGGAAAAACGGGGAGAAACGGAGCGGGTGTGGGGAAAAACGGGGAGAAACGGAGCGGGTGTGGGGAAAAACGGGGAGAAACGGAGCGGGTGTGGGGAAAAACGGGGAGAAACGGAGCGGGTGTGGGGAAAAACGGGGAGAAACGGAGCGGGTGTGGGGAAAAACGGGGAGAAACGGAGCGGGTGTGGGGAAAAACGGGGAGAAACGGAGCGGGTGTGGGGAAAAACGGGGAGAAACGGAGCGGGTGTGGGGAAAAAACAGAGCGAAACGGAGCGGGTGTGGGGAAAAAACGGGGAGAAACGGAGCGGGTGTGGGGAAAAAACGGGGAGAAACGGAGCGGGTGTGGGGAAAAACGGGGAGAAACGGAGCGGGTGTGGGGAAAAACGGGGAGAAACGGAGAGTGTGGGGTAAAAACAGAGCGAAACGGAGCGGGTGTGGGGAAAAAACGGGGAGAAACGGAGCGGGTGTGGGGAAAAACGGGGAGAAACGGAGCGGGTGTGGGGAAAAACGGGGAGAAACGGAGCGGGTGTGGGGAAAAACAGAGCGAAACGGAGCGGGTGTGGGGAAAAAACGGGAGAAACGGAGCGGGTGTGGGGAAAAAACGGGGAGAAACGGAGCGGGTGTGGGGAAAAACGGGGAGAAACGGAGCGGGTGTGGGGAAAAACGGGGAGAAACGGAGCGGGTGTGGGGAAAAAACGGGGAGAAACGGAGCGGGTGTGGGGAAAAACGGGGAGAAACGGAGCGGGTGTGAGGAAAAACGGGGAGAAACGGAGCGGGTGTGGGGAAAAACGGGGAGAAACGGAGCGGGTGTGGGGTAAAAACGGGGAGAAACGGAGCGGGTGTGGGGAAAAACGGGGAGAAACGGAGCGGGTGTGGGGAAAAACAGAGCGAAACGGAGAGTGTGGGGTAAAAACAGAGCAAAACGGAGAGTGTGGGGTAAAAACAGAGCGAAACGGAGAGTGTGGGGTAAAAACAGAGCGAAACGGAGAGTGTGGGGTAAAAACGGGGAGAAACGGAGAGTGTGTGGGGTAAAAACAGAGCGAAACGGAGAGTGTGGGGTAAAAACAGAGCGAAACGGAGAGTGTGGGGTAAAAACAGAGCGAAACGGAGAGTGTGGGGTAAAAACGGGGAGAAACGGAGAGTGTGTGGGGTAAAAACAGAGCGAAACGGAGAGTGTGGGGTAAAAACAGAGCGAAACGGAGAGTGTGGGGTAAAAAACAGAGCGAAACGGAGAGTGTGGGGTAAAAACGGGGAGAAACGGAGCGGGTGTGGGAAACACAGCGAAACGGAGAGTGTGGGGTAAAAACAGAGCGACACGGAGAGTGTGGGGTAAAAACAGAGCGAAACGGAGAGTGTGGGGTAAAAACGGGGAGAAACGGAGAGTGTGGGGTAAAAACAGAGCGAAACGGAGCGGGTGTGGGGTAAAAACAGAGCGAAACGGAGAGTGTGGGGTAAAAACAGAGCAAAACGGAGAGTGTGGGGTAAAAACAGAGCGAAACGGAGAGTGTGGGGTAAAAACGGGGAGAAACGGAGAGTGTGTGGGGTAAAAACAGAGCGAAACGGAGAGTGTGGGGTAAAAACAGAGCGAAACGGAGAGTGTGGGGTAAAAACAGAGCGAAACGGAGAGTGTGGGGAAAAAACAGAGCGAAACGGAGCGGGTGTGGGGAAAAAACGGGGAGAAACGGAGCGGGTGTGGGGAAAAAACGGGGAGAAACGGAGCGGGTGTGGGGAAAAACGGGGAGAAACGGAGCGGGTGTGGGGAAAAAACGGGGAGAAACGGAGCGGGTGTGGGGAAAAACGGGGAGAAACGGAGCGGGTGTGAGGAAAAACGGGGAGAAACGGAGCGGGTGTGGGGAAAAACGGGGAGAAACGGAGAGTGTGGGGTAAAAACAGAGCAAAACGGAGAGTGTGGGGTAAAAACAGAGCGAAACGGAGAGTGTGGGGTAAAAACAGAGCGAAACGGAGAGTGTGGGGTAAAAACGGGGAGAAACGGAGAGTGTGTGGGGTAAAAACAGAGCGAAACGGAGAGTGTGGGGTAAAAACAGAGCGAAACGGAGAGTGTGGGGTAAAAAACAGAGCGAAACGGAGAGTGTGGGGTAAAAACGGGGAGAAACGGAGAGTGTGTGGGGTAAAAAACAGAGCGAAACGGAGAGTGTGGGGTAAAAACAGAGCGAAACGGAGAGTGTGGGGTAAAAACAGAGCGAAACGGAGAGTGTGGGGTAAAAACGGGGAGAAACGGAGCGGGTGTGGGGTAAAAACACAGCGAAACGGAGAGTGTGGGGTAAAAACAGAGCGACACGGAGAGTGTGGGGTAAAAACAGAGCGAAACGGAGAGTGTGGGGTAAAAACGGGGAGAACGAGAGTGTGGGGTAAAAACAGAGCGAAACGGAGCGGGTATGGGGTAAAAACAGAGCGAAACGGAGAGTGTGGGGTAAAAACAGAGCAAAACGGAGAGTGTGGGGTAAAAACAGAGCGAAACGGAGAGTGTGGGGTAAAAACGGGGAGAAACGGAGAGTGTGTGGGGTAAAAACAGAGCGAAACGGAGAGTGTGGGGTAAAAACAGAGCGAAACGGAGAGTGTGGGGTAAAAACAGAGCGAAACGGAGAGTGTGGGGTAAAAACAGAGCAAAACGGAGAGTGTGGGGTAAAAACAGAGCGAAACGGAGAGTGTGGGGTAAAAACGGGGAGAAACGGAGAGTGTGTGGGGTAAAAACAGAGCGAAACGGAGAGTGTGGGGTAAAAACAGAGCGAAACGGAGAGTGTGGGGTAAAAACGGGGAGAAACGGAGCGGGTGTGGGGTAAAAACAGAGCGAAACGGAGAGTGTGGGGTAAAAACAGAGCGAAACAGAGAGTGTGGGGTAAAAACAGAGCGAAACGGAGAGTGTGGGGTAAAAACAGAGCAAAACGGAGAGTGTGGGGTAAAAACGGGGAGAAACGGAGCGGGTGTGGGGTAAAAACACAGCGAAACGGAGAGTGTGGGGTAAAAACAGAGCGACACGGAGAGTGTGGGGTAAAAACAGAGCGAAACGGAGAGTGTGGGGTAAAAACGGGGAGAAACGGAGAGTGTGGGGTAAAAACAGAGCGAAACGGAGAGTGTGGGGTAAAACACAGCAAAACGGAGAGTGTGGGGTAAAAACAGAGCGACACGGAGAGTGTGGGGTAAAAACGGGGAGAAACGGAGAGTGTGGGGTAAAAACAGAGCGAAACGGAGAGTGTGGGGTAAAAACGGGGAGAAACGGAGAGTGTGGGGTAAAAACAGAGCGAAACGGAGAGTGTGGGGTAAAAACAGAGCGAAACGGAGCGGGTGTGGGGTAAAAACAGAGCGAAACGGAGAGTGTGGGGTAAAAACAGAGCGAAACAGAGAGTGTGGGGTAAAAACAGAGCGACACGGAGAGTGTGGGGTAAAAACAGAGCGAAACGGAGAGTGTGGGGTAAAAACGGGGAGAAACGGAGAGTGTGGGGTAAAAACACAGCGAAACAGAGAGTGTGGGGTAAAAACAGAGCAAAACGGAGAGTGTGGGGTAAAAACAGAGCGAAACGGAGAGTGTGGGGTAAAAACGGGGAGAAAACGGAGAGTGTGGGGTAAAAACACAGCGAAACGGAGAGTGTGGGGTAAAAACAGAGCGAAACGGAGAGTGTGGGGTTAAAAACAGAGCGAAACGGAGAGTGTGGGGTAAAAACAGAGCGAAACGGAGCGGGTGTGGGGTAAAAACAGAGCGAAACGGAGAGTGTGGGGTAAAAACAGAGTGAAACGGAGAGTGTGGGGTAAAAACACAGCGAAACGGAGAGTGTGGGTAAAAACAGAGCGAAACGGAGAGTGTGGGGTAAAAACGGGGCGAAACGGAGAGGGGTTGGGGAGAAACGGGGCGAAACGGAGAGGGTGTGGGGAAAAACGGAGCGAAACGGAGCGGGTGTGGGGTAAAAACGGAGTGAAACGGAGAGGGTTTGGGGCAAAAACGGAGCAAAATGGAGAGTGGTTGGGGAGAAACGGAGCGAAACGAAGCGGGTTTGGGCAAAAACGGAGCGAAACGGAGCGGATTGGGCAAAAACGGAGAGGGTTTGGGCAAAAACGGAGCGGGTTTGGGCAAAAATGGAGCGAAACGGAGCAGGTTTGGGGTGAAACGGAGCGGGTTTGGGGTGAAACGGAGCGGGTTTGGGGAGAAATGGAGCAGGTTTGGGGTGAAAAGGAGTGGGTTTGGGGAGAAACCGAGCGCGTTTGGGGTGAAACGGAGCGGGTTTGGGGAGAAACGGAGCAGGTTTTGGGCAACGGGAAGGCTCGGAGGGAAACGGTGGGGGCGTGGCTACAGGCAAAGGGGTCGTGGCCAATGGGGTAGGGCTTGAGGCAATAGGAAGGGGTTAAGGCAAAGGGGCGTGGTTAAGGCAGAAGAGGCGTGGCAGGAGGTAAGGGGGCGGGGTTTAGGTGAATGGGAAGGGCTATGGAAAGGCATGGGGCCAATGGGAAGGGGTTAAGGCAAAGGGGGCGAAGCCAGGGCAGGGGGCGTGGCTAAAGCCAAAGGGGGCGTGGGCTTGGGAGTAGGGCTTGAGCCAATAGGAAGGGGTTATGCCAAAGAGAGCGTGGTTAAAGCAAAGCAGAGTGACTGAGGGAAGTGGTGCGAGCCAATGGGACGGGACTAAAGCCCTGGGGGGACAGCCAATGGGAGTAGGGGCAGTGGGGATTAAGGGGCTGCCATTGGTTGGTGTGGGGCGAAGCCCCGCCCCCTGACCTGGGTGTCGGTCAGCGGCAGCCAATAGATGCAGGGCGCTGCCTTGGTCTTGCGGAAGAGGTCATCGAGCAGCTTGGCGGGGGGCTCCTCGGGGGGCTTCTCTATGGGGAGAGGGGGGACAAAGGGGGTCAGACCCATAGCATCCCCCCATGGAGCCCTATGGAAGCCCTTAGCCCCGCCCCCCTAACCCCCTCCCATTGCCGCACACTCCCTCCCATTGATCCCCCAGTTTAAGCCCCGACCCCCGCTCCTCCCTTCCCCCACAGCCCCGCCCCCTTTTAAAGCCCCGCCCCTCACCTTTCTTGTCCCCCCGCCCCTCCCTGGAGCCCCGCCCCGCCCTGTCCTTCTCCGCCATTGGCTGCCGGTGCCTGGGGCGGGGCTCCCGCGCCGAGGGGGCGTGTCCGGCGCCCAGGGGGCGTGTCCCCCCGGCCGAGGGGGCGTGTCCCGGGCTGGAGGGGGCGGGGCCTGCGGAGGTCGGGGGCGGGGCCGCCGGGACAGAGCCCTTGTCCCGGTCCCACTCCCGCTCCCCCCGCGCCCGCTCCCGCCGCTCCATCTCCCGCTCCCGCTCCGCCCACTGTGATTGGCTGCGGCCCGGCCCGGACACGCCCCCTGGACACGCCCCCCGGCCTTGGGGGCACGACCCCGGGGGGGGCTCCTCTCCCCCCTCCAGGCGATCCGGGAGCAGCCCCCGGTGGAAGTCGAGCTGTGGGGAGAGAGAGAGACCCATAAGTGACCCATAGGGACCCACAGGGACCCACAGAGACCCAGAAGTGACCCATAGGGACCCACAGAGACCCAGAAGTGACCCATAGGGACCCACAGGGATCCATAGAGACCCAGAAGTGACCCACAGGGACCCACAGAGACCCAGAAGTGACCCATAAGGACCCACAGGGACCCACAGAGACCCAGAAGTGACCCATAGGGACCCACAGGGATCCATAGAGACCCAGAAGTGACCCATAGGGACCCAGAAGTTACCCACAGGGAACCATAGAGACCCATAAGTGACCCATAGGGACCCATAGAGACCCATAACTTACACAGGGAGCCAGAAGGACTCATAGGGACCCATAATGACACATAGGGACCCATAACGACCCATAGGAACCCATTAGTGAATCACAGAGACCATAAGTGACCTCCCAAACCCCTAAGTGACCACCCCAGGACCATTAAGTGACCCATAGGGACCCACAAAGACACACAGGAATACACAGGGACACATAAAGACCCATAGCGACCCATAAGGAGCCATACGCACCCCTAAGTAATAAATAGAGAGGTGTAAGTACCCAGAAGTGACACCCAGGACCCATACGTGACCCACAGACACTCACAAGTGACCCATAGAGCCCCACAAGTCCCCCCTCAGACCCCTAAGTGCCCCCCGGCGCTGCCCCACACCTCCTCCTGCTCGGCAAAGTCAGCAACCAGCACTTTGGGGTTGGACTGAGGCCACTTGACCCCGTGCAGGGCATTGCGGGTGGCCACGGCCTCCTCCACGGAGCAGTACTGGGGGCAAAAGCAAAGGTAAGGACCCATAGGGACCCACAGGCACCCCACAGGGACCCATAGAGCCCCACAGGCACCCCACAAGGCCCCATACCGTGACGTAGCAGTGGGACTTGATGCGGTCGATCCAGAAGCCGTCCTCTCGCAGCCGCCCCGTGCGCCCCAAGAGCTCCTTCAGCTGCCCCAGGGTGAAGGGGCGCACCTGGGGGGGGAGATGTGGGGCAAAGCTGTGGGGCAGCTCCACCCCATAGCGACCCATAGAGCCCCGTAGGAACCCCCAGAGACCCATAGAGACCCACAGAGCCCCCCATAGGGCAGAGGGGGCGTGTCCTTGGCTGACCCCACCCCTCTCCAGCACTATACCACCCCCTGGTAGATGCACAGCAACCCGCTGCCTGTACCCCCCATAGCCAGCCCTTATCACCCCATAGTGCCCCACAGCCACCCCGTATCGCCCCATACCCACCCCACAGTGCTCCACAGACACCCCATATCGCCCCATAGCCACCCCATAGTGCTCTACAGACACCCTCTATCGCCCCATAGCCACCCCATATCACCCCATAGCCACCCCATATCACCCCATATCGCCCCATAGCCACCCCACAGTGCTCCATTGACACCCTCTATCGCCCCACAGCCACCACCTATCGCCACATAGCCACCCCATATCACCCCATAGCCACCCCATATCACCCCATAGCCACCCTATATCACCCCATAGCCACCCCATATCACCCCATAGCCACCCTATATCACCCCATAGCACCCCCCAGGACCGCTGACGTCACTCACGAGGTTGCAGAGATGCACGATGGGGGAGGGGCGGGCGCGGGGGGGGGAGGGGCGGTTGGGCCCCGCCCGCACGGGGTCATCCACGGGCAGCACCAGCCCCACCCCGCCCCGGGCTCGGCGGGGAGGGTCCCCTGCAGCAGAGACCCCATAGAAACCATTATAGACCAGTACAGACCAGTATACAACCATTATAGACCCATTATAGACTCAATATAGATCATTACAAACCCACTGCAGAGCATTATAGACCATTATAGACCCACTATAAACCATTATATACCATTATATGATACTGTAGTGCCATTATATCCCATTATCAACCCATTCTACGCTGCTATAGACCCACTATACGTCATTATAGAACCATTATAGACCATTATAGACCATTGTACACCCAATATATGCCACCACAGACCCACTGCAGAGCATTATAGACCATTATATATCATTATATGATAGCGTAGTGCCATTATACCCCATTATGAACCCATTCTATGCTGCTATAGACCCACTATACGTCATTATAGAACCATTATAGACCATTACAGACCATTATACACCCAGTATATGCCACCACAGACCCACTGCAGCGCATTATAGACCATTATAGACCCACTATAACCATTATATATCATTATATGCCACTGTAGTGCCATTATATCCCATTATGAACCCATTCTATGCTGCTATAGACCCGCCATGCGTCATTATAGAACCATTATAGACCATTATAGACCGTTATACACCCAGTATATGCCACCAGACCCACTGCAGAGCATTACAGACCCACTATAAACCATTATAAACCCCTATAGACCGCCACAGACCCATTACAGACCCATTACAGCCCCATTATACGCCCCTTATAGACCCCTCCAGACCCCCTATAGGCTGTTACAGCCCCATAGAGCCCCCTCTCACCTCTCTTCACTTCCCCCTCCGTGCCAGCAGGGGGCGGCGCTCCCTCCGCGGGGGGCGGGGCCTGGGCCGAGGGGGCGGGGCCAGCACCGGCAGGGGGCGGTGCCTCTCCGCGGCTCCTCCCCTCCTCCTCTGTGCCCTCGGGGTCGTTGTCATGACGACGGCCGTTCTCAGGGGGCACATCCTAAAGCGGGGGGGAGTGATGGGGGTCAGAGTCACGTGATCGGGGGGGGGGCAATGGTGCTGAATGGGGGCTATGGGATGGGGGGGGGGTCCATGATTACCTGGGTGACGGTGCGGCAGATCTTGAGGGGGGGGTTGTTGCCATGGTGATGGTGCAGGTGATGGTGATGGTGGTGATGGGGCAGCCCCAGCAGGGGGGGCGGCGGGAGGGGCAAGGGGGGGTGCCCCGAGGCCACGCCCCCTCCTCCTCCTCCTCCTCCCCCCCCTCCTTTGCCCCCCCCTTCCTCCTCCTCCATCTCCATTGGCCGCTCTTCTTCCTCCTCCTCCTCCTCCTCCTCCTCTTCCGGGTGCAGCTCCACCACCGCTTCCGCCTTCATCTCCGGGATCAGGCTCTGCCATGGGGAAAGGGGGGGGCAGTTATGGGGTGAGGGGGGTCTATAGGGGGTGGTCTATGGGGGGGGTTATAGAGGGTTGGTCTATGGGGTGATCTATAGGGGGTGTCTATAAGGGGTGGTCTATGGGGGGGTCACTAGAGGGGGCTTATAGGGGGGTGGTCTATGGGAGGAGCCTATAGGGCATGGTCTATGGGGTGGTCTATAGGCGGTGGTCTATGGGGGGGGGGATTTATGGGGGTGGTCTATGGTGGGGTCTATGAGGGGGGATCTATAGGGGTGGTCTATGGTGGGGGATTTATGGGGGTGGTCTATGGTGGGGTCTATGAGGGGGTGGTATATGGGGGGTGGTCTATAGGGGGTCATCTATGGGGGGGTCTATAAGGTGGGCTATGGGGCATCTATAAGGGGTGGTCTATGGGGGGGTCTATAAGGGGTGGTCTATGGGGGCTATAGGGGGTAGCCTATAGGGGGCGGTCTATGGGGGGGGTCAATAGGGGTTGGTCTATGGGGTCGCTCCTCCGCGACCCTACAGGGAGGCTTCACCTTGAGGCTCTCGGTGGTGATGCTGATGGACGGGCGCTTGGGGGCGCCGGTGCTGCTGCCCCAGCGCCGCTTGCGGGGGCCCCCCGGCGCCGCCCCGGCCCCCCCCTCCGCTTCCGAGCTCCCCCTGGCGGCCGCTGCGTGCACAGACACGTAAAGGGGCGGGGTAGAGGGAAGGGGGCGGAGCTTGCTGGAGGCGGCCCCTACAGAGCAGCGCGCCCGCCTCCGCCGTTGTAGCGCCCCCTGCCGGAGCCGAGCAGCAGCCGCGCTCCCATTGGTCGGCGCACGGAGCGCAGAGCCCCGCCCACCCCGCGTTAAGCACCACCCCCCATCCCCTTAACCCCGCCCCCCTTTTTTCCCCCACCCCACCCCATTGGCCCTCCCCTTGGCCACGCCCCCTTGAGGCCCCGCCCCCTGCTCACAGACGACGCTGATCTTCCTCTTGAAGGCCTTGGGCCGGGCGGGGCTCTGGGGACAGAGGGGGAGGGGGGGGAAACACGCCCCAATCAGGAGCGAGGGCGGGGCTGACGTCAGCGCGGGGGCGGGGCCACGCAGGCTCCGCCCCCTCCTCACTCACTCCTCCCCCTCCCCTCCTTCCCCTTGGCACCCTCCCACCCTCCCCCTCTATGGGGCTGCCCCGTAAGTGACCTCCGGTGTGGGGGGGGCGTCCGGCGCGTCCGTGGGGTGCCCCATAAGTGAACTTGGGGGTCACTGAGGTCCAATGGGTGCCCCATAAGAGAAGATGGGGGTCAGAGATGTCCATGTGCTGCCCCATAAGTGAGGTGGGGGGGTCACTAAGGTCCATGGGCTGCCCCACAAGCGGGGGGTGAAGGGTCAGTGAGGTCCATAGGGTGCCCCATAAGTGAGCCTGGGGGTCATTGAAGTCCATAGGGTGCCCCATAAGAGAACGTGGGGGTCACTGAGGTCCATGGGCTGCCCCATAAGTGTGGGGTGAAGAAGGGTCACTGAGGTCCATTGGCTGCCCCATATAGTGGGTTGGGCGTTGTGAAAGTCCACTGGCTGCCCCATAAGTGTGGGGTGAAGAAAGGTCACTGAGGTCCACTGGCTGCCCCATATGTGAACTTGGGGATAACTGAGGTCCATGGGCTGCCCCATAAGCACGGGGCGAAGAAGGGTCATTGAGGTCCATTGGCTGCCCCCTAAGTGTGGGGTGAAGAAAAGTCACTGAGGTCCACTGGCTGCCCCATATGTGAACTTGGGGATAACCGAGGTCCATGGGCTGCCCCATAAGTGCGGGGTGAAGAAGGTTCACTGAGGTCCATTGGCTGCCCCATATGTGAACTTGGGGATAACCGAGGTCCATGGGCTGCCCCATAAGTGCGGGGTGAAGAAGGGTCACTGAGGTCCATTGGCTGCCCCATATGTGAACTTGGGGATAACCGAGGTCCATGGGCTGCCCCATAAGTGCGGGGTGAAGAAGGTTCACTGAGGTCCATTGGCTGCCCCATAAATGCGGGGTGAAGAAGGTTCACTGAGGTCCATTGGCTGCTCCGTAAGTGGGGTTGGGTGTTGTGAAAGTCCACTGGCTGCCCCACAAGTGAACTTGGGGGTCACTGAGGTCCTTGGGCTGCCCCGTGAGGTTGGGGGGGCAGTAAAGTCCATTGGCTGCCCCATAAGCGAGCTGCTCGGTTGCGGAGTCTCCACGGGCTGCCCCATAAGTGAAGTTTGGGGTCCCTGAGGTCCATTGGCTGCCCCACAGGTGGGGTTGAGGGTCACGGAGAGAGAGCATGGGGTGCCCCACAGGTGAGACTGGGGGGTGTCGAAGTCCATTGGCTGCCCCATAAGTGAACTCGGGGGCCTTGGAGTATTCTTGGGGTGCCCCATAAGTCAGGCTGGGGTCACGGAGGCCCACGGGCTGACCCCTAAGTGAACCTGGAAGTCACGAAAGTGCCCCCCATGCAACTTGTTAAGTCCTGGCAATCAGTGGGTGCCCCCTAAGTGAACTTGGGGGTCACATATGTCCAGAGGCTGCCCCACAGGAGACACGTGGGGCGCCCCACATGGCACTTGTGGGTCACAGACGTCCACTGGCTGCCCCATAAGTGAGGCTGGGGGTCACAGGTGTCCGTAGGTTGCCCCACGTGGCACTTGTGGGTCACGGACTGATCCATGGAGCGCCCCATAAGGCTTGTTATGGGTCCCAGAGGTCCATCAGCTGCCCCATAAGTGAAGCCGAGGGTCACAGATGGCCGCAGGGTGCCCCACATGGCACCTGTGGGTCCCCGAGGTCCATAGGCTGCCCCGTAGGAGATCCATGGGGTGCCCCACACATCCATAGGCTGCCCCACAGGAGATCCACAGGGTGCCCCACACATCCATAGGCTGCCCCACGTGACTTGTTATGGGTGCAGAGCTCTGAAGGCTGCCCCACGTGGCACTTGTGGGTCCCAGCTCAATCCATAGGGTGCCCCATAGGGTTTGTTATGGGTCCCAGAGGTCCATCAGCTGCCCCATAGGAGCTCCATCGGCTACCCCACACATCCGTAGGGCGCCCCATATGCGATCCATGGCCTGCCCCACACGGCACTTATGGGTCCCAGCCACCGCTGGGGTGCCCCCCATGGCACTTGTGGGTCCCGGGCCTGCTCCGTGGGGTGACCCCCCACACTTGGGGGTCCCGCGGCTCCATCGGGTGCTGGATGCCCCCCAAGTGAGGCCTTGGGGGGGGTCCGGGGGGTCCTTTGAGCCAGCGCTGGGTGCCCAAAAGAGAGACGTTGGGGGGTCCTGACTTGGGGGCGCCCCCCCAAGTAAGGGGGCTTGGGGGGGGCATGTGTGGGGCGCCCCAGAGGTCAATGGGGTGTTGCTGTGGGGCGACTGTGGGGCACAGGCCGCGGTGGGGCACCCACTAAGGCATGGCGGAGGCTGCCCCCCAAGTGGAAACGGGCCCCGTAACCGTGGGGCGCCCCATAAGTGATTATGGAGGGGGGGCTGGTGCTATACGGCACCCCCATAAATGACTATGAGGGGGTTGGTGCTGCCATGGGGTGCCCCATAAGCAAATATGGGGGGGGGGGGCATTGATGCTATGGGGTGCCCCGTAAGTGACTCTAGGAGCCCGCAGTGCTATGGGGTGCCCCATAAGTGACCCTTTGGGCCTCACTGGGCGCTGTGGGGTGCCCCATAAGTAACTATGGGGGTGCTGCATCCATGACGTACCCCATAGGTGGCTCTTTAGGCTGCAATGGACGCTACGGGGCGCCCCATAAGTGACACAAGGGGTTGGTCATGGGGCAGGGCCCGTCCCCCCCCCTCTGCCCCACATCTCCCCCCCTCCCCCATGTTACCTCAGGGTCCGGGGGCGCTCGGGGGGGGCACTCGGGGGGGGGGAGCCCCCACTTGGGGGGGGCGGTCCCGGCTCCATGGGCACCGGCGGCTCCTCGCTGTGGGGCAGAGATCAGTGGGGCTGCCCCATAGGTACCCTATGGGGGCACTCTGCCCCATAGAGGGGCTAAATAGGGCTTCCTGCCCCATAGAAGCACTAAGTGGGGGTCCTAGCCCCACGCATTCCCCACACAAGCCCTTAACAGTGGATCCCTGCCCCATAGACACCCCATAGGGCTCCTTAACTGTGGGTCTCTGCCCCATTCCCCCCACAGAGCCGCTAAACAGGAGCTTCCTGCCCCACAGAGACGCTAAATGATGGGGCTCCCTGCCCCACACATCCCCCATAGAGCCCCGCAGAGAAGCCACACACACGCCCCATAGCACCGCATCCCTGCCCCATAGACACCCCAAGGCCCCTTCCCAGTCCCATACATTCCCCCACACACACCCCCATAGTGGGGGATCCCAGCCCCATAGGAAAACCCCTGCCCCATAGCGCCCATAGGAACACCCCTGCCCCATAGCACCCCATAGGAACATCCCTGCCCCATAGCGCCCATAGGAACACCCCTGCCCCATAGCACCCCATAGGAACATCCCTGCCCCATAGCGCCCATAGGAACACCCCTGCCCCAGAGGGCCCATAGGAACACCCCAGCCCCATAGCGCCCATAGGGACACCCCTGCCCCATCGCCGCCCCATAGCGCCGCGGGGCACTCACCCCCTCCCCTCTCTATTGTGTGGGGCCGGCGCAGGCGGGCGCGGCCGCCATCTTGAGCCCTTCCCAGCAGCCCCCGCGGTGGGGGGGGGGGGGGAGGGGAGGGGCTGGGGGAGGGGCTGCAGCTCAGAGCCATGGAGACAGAGACCCTATAGATGCCCTATAGGAAACCCATAGATACCCTAGAGATACCGCATAGGAACCCTATAGACACCCTAGAGATACCCCATAGGAACCCTATAGATACCCTAGAGATACCCCATAGGAACCCTAGAGATACCCCATACGAACCCTATAGATACCCTATAGCCACCCTATAGATACCCCATAGGAACCCTACAGATACCCTATAGCCACCCTATAGACACCCTATAAACATCCTAGAGATACCCCATAGGAACCCTATAGACACCCTATAGATACCCTATAGATATCCTATAGACACCCTATAAACACCCCATAAGAACCGTATAGATACCCTATAGACACCCTATAGATATCCTATAGAAACCCTATAAATACCCCATAGGGGCCCTCTAGATATCCTATAGATATCCTATAGATACCCCATAGGAACCCTATAGATACCCTATAGACACCCTATAAATACCCCATAGCAGCACTCCAGATATCCTATAGATACCCTACAGATACCCCATAGGAACCCTATAGATACCCTATAGACACCCTATAGAAACCCTATAAATATCCCACAGGAGCCCTCTAGATATCCTATAAATACCCTATAGATACCCCATAAGAACCCTACAGATACCCTAAAGACATCCTATGGAAGCCTATAGAAACCCTGTAAGAACCCATAGAACCCTTACAGATACCTACAACAACCCGTACACACCCTATAGATACCCTATAGGCACTCTATAGGAACCTAGAGACACCCATAGGCACTCCATAGATACCTACAACAACCCGTACACACCCTATAGATCCCCAACAGACACTCTATAGGAATGCATAAAAACCTTATGGATACCTACAACCCATACAGACCCTATAGATGCCCTACATACACCCTATACGAACCCATAGAAACCCTATAGATACCTACAACACCCCATACAGACCCTATAAATACCCTATAGACATCCTATAGGAACCTATAGACACCCACATGCACCATATACATACCTACCACAACCCATACAGACCCTACAGATACCCTATAGCAACCTATAGACACCTCTAAGTACCCTTTAGATGCTCATAGGAATCCTATGGAAACCCACAGACACCCATACGAACCCTATAGAGACCCATAAGTACCTATAGAAACCCATACAAACCCTATCAACACCCTATAGAGACCCACAAACACCTACAGGGACCCTGCAGATGCCCATAGGAATCCTATAGAGACCTATAGACACCCATAGAGACCCCACAGACACCTATAGTGACTCCAAGGACACCCTATAGAGACCTACAGACAGCCATAGGGACCTATAGGGCACATACAGACACCCCCAAGCACCTATAAACGTCCCGAGGGAGCCTATAAGGACTTACAGACACCCACAACGCCCCACAGCACCCTATAGACACCCTATAGAAACCTACAGGCATCCATACGGACCCTATAGAGACTCTACAAACACCCACAGGCTTCTATAGGGAACAGAGACACCAGAGGCTCCTATAGACACCCCCTGGGATCTATACAGACCCCATAGACACTCTACACACACCTATAGGAACCAACAGAGACCCCATGGGCACCTATAGACACCCCACAAGCACCTACAGCCACCCTATAGAGAACCATAAGCACCTACAAACACTCATGGGACCCCATACAGACTCCATAGGGACACAGAGATGGAACCCGGCGCGCACACACACACCCCACAGGGACCCTATAGTGCCCCATAAGGACCCCATAAACACCACCATAGACCCACATATCCCCCCTAGGTCCATACAGGGACCCCACAGCCAGCCCTACAGACCCCCCTTAATGCCCCCAGGGACCCCAACACCCCCATAGATCCCCCACGGACCCATATGTAGAGCCCCCGACGTCCTATACCTCCCCATACACCCTACATAGACACCCCACACACACACACAACAGACCCATATGCCCCCCATAGACCCTAGAACCCCCCCACAGACCCCACATATAACCCCCCCACCCCATATCCCCACCATAGACCCCATAACCCCCCACATAGACCCCATATATTCCCCCCCATAGACCCCATGTATGAAGCCCCCACCCCATATCCCCCCATAGACCCCATATGTAACCCCCCTACCCCATATCACCCCCATATACCCCATAACCCCTGCCATAGACCCCATATATAACCCCCCACTCCATATCCCCCCATAGACCCCATAACCCCCACCATAGACCCCATGTATGAAGCCCCCACCCCATATCCCCCCATAGACCCCATATATAACCCCCCTACCCCATATCCCCCCACAGACCCCATAACCCCTGCCATAGACCCCATATATAACCCCCACTCCATATCCCCCCATAGACCCCATGTATGAAGCCCCCACCCCATATCCCCCCCATAGACCCCCATAACCCCCACCGTAGACCCCATGTATGAAGCCCCCACCCCATATCCCCCCCATAGACCCCATAACCCCTGCCACTGACCCCATATATAACCCCCCCACCCCATATCCCCCCCATAGACCCCATATATAACCCCCCCATCCCTATATAACCCCCCCAGCCCTATAGGACCCCCCCATCTCTCACCTATGGGGCTCCACGGGGGCTCCGGGGATCTCACCCCCTCCCTCACCCTCGGCTTCATCCTGGGGGGGGGGGGGGGGGGGGGAAACAGAGTCAGTGTGGTCACATGAGCCAGGTGAGGTCACATGACCACCACCCCCCCAATACACTCACCTTCCTCCCTGGGGATGAGGCTGAAGATGGCAGCCGAGGGGGGGACAAAGATGGCGGCCGGGGGGGCGACAAAGATGGCGGCCGGGGGGGGCCCCCCCCTTCCCCTTCCCCTTCCTCCCCTTCATCATCCTCCTCCTCCTTCTTGGGGGCTCCCTCCCCGCCATGGGGAGCAATGGGGGGGGGCTCCTGCTCGGGGGGAGCCGGGTCCGGCTGGGGGGGGGCCCCCTGGGGAGGAGGGGGCTCCTCCTCCTCCTCCTCTTCCTCGCCCCCCCTTCCTCCTCCTCCTCCTCCTCCTCGTCCTCCTCTTCCTCCTCACCCCCCCCCGCGGGAGCAGGGGCCTGGGGGGGGGAAATGGGGGTTAATGGGGGGGAAATGGGGTTCAAGTGGGTCTAAATGGGCTTCAATGGGGCTCTATGGGGTTCAATGGGGATTCAATGGAGTCTAAATGGGGTTCAGTGGGGCTCTGTGGTGTGCAATGGGGGTTCAAGTGGGTCTAAATGGGCTTCAGGGGGGCTCAATGGGGTTCAGTGGGGCTCTATGGTGTTCAATGGGGATTCAATGGAGTCTAAATGGGGTTCAGTGGGGCTCTACGGTGTGCAATGGGGGCTCAATGGGGTTCAACAGGGTCTAAATGGGCTTCAATAGTTCTCTATAGGGTCTAATGGGGGTTCAATGGGGGCTAAAGGCATTCAATGGGGTTTAATGGGGCTCTATGGGGTTCAACTGGGTCTAAATGGGGTTCAATGGGCCTCTGTGGTGTGCAATGGGGGTTCAATGGAGTCTAAATGAGGGTCAATGGGGTCCAATGGGGTGTAAATGGGGGCTCAATGGGGTCTAATGGGACTCTATGGGGTTCAGTGGCATGTAAATGGGGGTTCAATAGGGCTCTATGGGGTTCAAGTGGGTCTAAATGGGGTTCAATGGGGCTCTATGGGGTTCAATGGGGCTCTATGGGGGATCAATGGGGCTCTATGGGGGATCAATGGGGCTCTATGGGGGATCAATGGGGCTCTATGGGGTTCAATGTGATTCAATGGGGGATCAATGGGGCTCTATGGGGTGCAATGGGGGGGGCTCCATTCACCTTCCTCTCCCCTTCCTCCTCCTGCTGCTCCTTTGCTGCGGGGCCGCTCTTCCCAGCTCCTGTTTTGGGGCCATCCCCAAAAAGAGCATTTTTTGGCTCATTTTGGGCTCATTTGGGGGCAGTTTTGGGTCACTTTGGGGCGGTTTTGGGGCTGTGCTGACCCTCGGCCTCGGCCTCGCGCGCCTCCCGCTCCAGGCGCTGCTGCAGCAGCTCCTGCTGCTTCTCCAGGTACTCCTTGATGAAGCTGTTCTGGCTCATCTCCTCGCCCATCTTTGGGGCAAAAAAACAACCGTTTCGGGGCATTTGGGGCGCGTCGAAGCCTTTCGAGGTGTTTCGGGGGGGGGTTGGGGGTGGTTTTGGGGCCATTCTCACCTGGGAATTGGGCTGGAAAGTGGCGTGAGGGGTCGAGTGCTTCTGGAGGTTCTCGAGCATCAGCGCCTGTTTTGGGGTGATTTGGGGTGGTTTGGGGTCTTTTCAACCCCTATGCACCCACCCTTAACGCGCTAGACCCAAAAGTAGCAGATTTAAACCCAAATCTAAGACCACAAGCTCAAAAAATGGGGTTTTCTCCATAAAACGTTGGAAGTTTGGCCTCAAAAAAGCAGCTTTGAGGCCAAAACGACACCAAAATGATGGGGTTTCACCTCAAATCGAGCCCAGAAAGGGGTTTCTGGCTCAAAATACCACCAAATCCAGGGATCTGGGCTCAAATTCCAGCCCAAGCGGTCAAAAACACCCAAATCCCTTCATAGATTGGCTAAAAATGTTTTTTTTTTTACCTCAAATTCCCCCACAAAGCACAAGTTTTACCTGAAACCCACCTCAGAATGCGCTGAAAACACAACTTTTGAGCTCAAATTTGGGCACAAAGCGGCCAAAAATGGGATTTTTAAGATCAAAATGGATTTTTTAGGTCAAAATTCCCCAAAACTGCAGATTTTAACTCAAAAAACTTCATTTTGACATCAAATGTCCCAAATTGCCCAAAATAACTTTTTCCTCCCAAATCCCGCCACAAACCACCCAAAACCGTGATTTTTACCTCAAATTAAAGCTCATGCTGCCAAACCCACCACTTTTACCTCAAACACATTCAAAGCGCCTTTAAAAGGCCCCAAAATCACCACTTTCCCCCCAAAAAACCAAATCAGGATGTCCAAAACCATTACTTTTACCTCAAATTCCTTCAAACTGCCCCAAAACTGCCACTTTTACCCCAAATAACCCAAAACCCAGCACTTTTAACTCAAAAGAGCCCTCAAACTGCCCCAAACTGAAACTTTTACCCCAAAACCTCCCTCGACCCCCCCAAAAACACCACTTTTAACTCAAACTCCTGAAAACCGCCACTCTTCCCTCAAAAACATCCTCAACCTCCCCAAAAGTGCAACTCTTCCCTCAAAAGCCTCCCAAAACTCGCCAAAAGCATCGCTTTCAGCCCAAAACCCCCTCAAACTGCCCAGAACTGCAACTTTTACCCCAAAAATCTCTCCCAAACTCCCATAAACCATCACTTCCACCCCCAAATCCCATCAAACTCGCAAAAACCACCACGTTTAGCCCAAAACCCCACCACTTTTACCCCCAGACCACCCCCTTTACCCTAAAAGCAGCACTTTTTACCACAAAACATCCTCTTTTACCCCAAACCCCCTGCTTTTTACCTCAAACCCACCACTTCCACCCCAAAAAACCCCACTTTTACCCAAAATAAAACACACTTTTTACCTAAAACCCACCACTTTTACCTCAAACCCCACTTCCTCCCCAAAACCCCCACTTTTACCCCCAAAACCCACTTTTTACCTCAAAACCCCTCACTTCCCCCCAAACCCCACTTTTTACCTCAAACCCACCACTTCCACCCCAAAAAACCCCACTTTACCCCAAAACCCCCACTTTTTACCTCAAACCCACCACTTCCTCCCAAAACCCCCACTTTTACCCCAAAACCTCAAACCCACCACTTCCACCCCAAAACCCTCACTTTTACCCCCAAAACCCCACTTTTTACCTCAAACCCACCACTTCCACCCCAAACCCCTCACTTTGTCCCCAAAACCCCCACTTTTTACCTCAAACCCGCCACTTCCACCCCAAAAAAACCCACTTTTACCCCAAAACCCCCACTTTTTACCTCAAACCCACCACTTCCACCCCAAAACCCCCACTTTTACCCCAAAACCCCACTTTTTACCTCAAACCCACCACTTCCACCCCAAACCCCTCACTTTGTCCCCAAAACCCCCACTTTTTACCTCAAACCCGCCACTTCCACCCCAAAAAAACCCACTTTTACCCCAAAACCCCCACTTTTTACCTCAAACCCACCACTTCCACCA